GCCGTAGGTTGACGTATGTACCATCTGAATTATCTGAATCATCTGAATAATCTGAACTATCTGAATCCTTTGTATGTTGAAGAGGACGAAGTACCTTGTATAACGAAGTAGCACACACTTTAAGCATTATTCTTAACCTTACCATCGTTTTTTATTTGAGGAAAATTAATTTAAAAGCGCCTTACTTTACAATCGAAACAATCCAAACGAAATGTGCAGTGAAAATGAATTTACTTGGAATTTTCTCCGATTCTGACAGTTGGCAGCTAGCCCACGACGATTCACAGCACTGGTTTTAGTGCTGTAAGATAATTTCTAGCTTCCCTAGCCAACGTCACAGTCATTAGTTTCTGCCCATGTGTGGCCCATTTTGCACTGATCTGATGATATGCATAAATAAATAATATTAATTTTTGTTGTGTATTGTAAGAAGAAACTCCAAGGCTTCCCTTGTGTGTCTGCTACAGTCTGAATAATTTTCAATTAATTGAACATGAACTTGAACTACTATGGGAAGGGGGCTGTGGCAGGGGCTATGGGTTTCCGGCTCTAACGGCAGTTGCGTTTTGGCTACTTTTTTTTCTACATCAAGGTGGCTTTTGGCTTTAAATCAAACAAAGTCCTAAACCACATTAGGAAACGACTGGCTAAAGTTATAAAAATTCAGAAAAAATTCAGTTGACTTTCTTTGTTACTGCATATACAAAGCGTGAAAAAATGTCCAACATTCGCAATTTGAGCGCTGAGGAGCGCGTGGTCTTGGATCGTTGGCTACAACGCAAAGGCATCCAGTTAACTTATCGCAATGCCGAGCAACTTTGCGACGCACTGCAAGTGGCAAGGATGTTTAACATAATCCAGCCAGGACTTGAAGATCTCTCCAGCTACTCGCCGTTCCTTAGCTTGCCGCTGAACTTTTTGAACTGGCAAATCTTCAATCATCGCGTCCTACGCAAACTGGACATGGGCGTATCCATGGGGGATCTCGAGAAGTTGGCTCTGGGCTGTACGGAAACCGTTGACGCTTTGCTCTTCAATCTGATGGCCAAGGAGTCCAGCTTGAAGAAGAAAGAAGATTAGAAGGGCTGCTCCCATAGAAGCAGGGCAACCTGCTAGACGGGGAACAAAAAACACAACAATCTATTATAATTATTAAATAACCCTGTTGCAATGCATACTTTCGTGCTTGGATATTTCTTCCACTTTACTTGCGAATTCTGACATAGCCCCCTTCGAGAAATTGTGGCTGCGCCCTTGCACCAAATCGGCGTTTGCAGTCAGCTTCGGAAAAACGGGACTTCTCTCGAGGTTTGACTCTATTTCGTTGCGTCGACTACCTGCTCTCTGCTGATCTATGTGTGTTGTTGTGGGTGGGTGGCTGAACACAGTTCTCGAATGTTCTGTTAGACCTCTCGCTCTCTCTCTCTTTCGTCTGTGTTTCGTTGTTCTTCTCATGTTTCTGTCTCCCGGGGTTGGCTTTTGTCACTGTTGATGCAGCTGCGGAAGCTTCGGCTTGGAGGTGATCATCTGGCGGGTTTGCGGCTGGTGCTACTTTTTTTGCGGTTTTCGAAGATCAGTCATGAATCTGAGTAGCCGTTTTGTCAAATATAAAGATCCATAGAAACTATTCAAAAGTGTAAAAAATGTAAGTATTTTAATTAAACATTTTCGGCTTTTATTTATCAGCATCAGCATGTATAGGTACCAGCTAAAATTAACAAATTTAACCAAGTGTCGCTTCTTTTGGCAACTCTGTAAAGCGACCAAAAACCAAATGCACCCACAGACACAGACGGTATGACACTTAATCGCCAATAATGATTTGTCCATCGATTCTGTCTCTCCAGCGCCAGTTCCGGGTGGCGGTGATAGGATCAGACAGGTGGCGATGAGGTGGTCAAGGCCAAGGCCGGTAGGGGCTCCGCCACCCTATCGATGGCCTACGCGGGCGCCTACGTCCAGTCTGACGTAACCGACGCCCCCTTCTTTTCCACCCCACTAACCTTCGGAAGGAAAGGCATCAAGAAGAACCACGGCCTGCCCAAGATGAACGAAACCGAGGAGAAGCAGGTGAAGATGGCCGTCGAAGCGCTCAAGCAGTCCGCCGCCAAGGGCGTGGAGTACATGACCAAAATGAGGTAACATGAGTTACAGGAAAATGTCGATTTTTCAATAAAATAGAAATGAGTATACAATGAAAATGGCTTTTGTTCAAAGGTAAATTATAGGCTTTTTGAGCAGGATAAGTTCCTAATGGGATCGAATATGCTTCTTTCGTTGAACTCTGAAATGTATACTTAAGGTATTCACTGTATATTGGCACCATATGGGCTTAATATTGTAGTCTGAGAGGAAACTTTCGCTCTTCAACTTTTCAAAATGCTCGCCCAAAAGGAGAGAACAGGACAAGCAAAAGAGAGCTGATGGCAGCTAAAAGCGATATTAGTGCAACAAATTGTAGCAAGCATTAAATGTGGAAACAATTTCGTAATGGTTTTGTGTCCAGTGTTACACATTAAAAATACCCTCTTAAAATTTCAGAGAAATCCAAGATCTAAATCATAACATAGAGTTGCTTGAGAAGAAACTATTTTAATAGTCTTTCCTTATTTATATATTTTTGGCAGATCGGAAATCATTTCATTTGCCGCCCGAAATATGTGAGTGTCGTGCAATATACCCGCTTGTGCTGGACGAGTATTGGGTATAAAAAAGAGCCATGAAAGCAATTACCATTAATCACACACGAGAACACACAGACAAATAAACGGGCAGTCGGATAGACGGACGGACGGAGAGCGGACTGGACACGTAGCGGACATGGAGACCAGCCTCAAAGGAACATTATTCGCCACCGATCGATCTTGGTGCGCAATGCAAAACAAGAAACTGAAACCAGAAAGCCAAAGCATCGGGAGTAGCCGAAGCACTTAACACCCTTTTAAAACGATCGTATTAATGGTTATAGCATATATGAATACTCGTGTTCCGCTCTTTTGACTTTGTTCTCAAACAATCAAGAGACTTTCTGCCAGGGTATATGAAAAGGAAAAACTTTTATCGAAGCCTGGTATACCCTCAGTCATAGATTCTGTTCTGCCTGCCCACCCCTCCAGTGTGTGTTTCCTTGTCGAACTCATCCTCGCGAGTCTCGCTTACTTACTCTAAATTTCTTATTTATGAGAGTGTGCTCCCAACGATGGCAGCGTTAATACTCATTGATCGTGAATCATCGAGGGTGGATTGGTTCTAGCACCTAGTACCCTATTGACACGCCATTGATATTGCCTCTGGCAAGTAAGACTAATGCCGGAGGGTATCTTCCTGTCGTGCCCTTTTTTTTTGTTGGAGTAAGCTTTATTTTTTGCTCATCCTCTGCATTTGTCAACTGAGTCTGAAGATTGGATTGGTGGCGCCAAGGGGGCTGGGCAAAAGGGGTGAGACTGCGACCATGCCAGGCCAGGCACCAACAAATTTGTTTCAATTGCCGTTCGTTTCGCTCAGTGGTCGGGCAACTTTTCAATGGCAGGCAGAGGCCTTTGACAAATGATCGCCGATAAGAAACCGAAACCGAAACGAAACGAAACGAGGGAGAGAGCAGATATTCAAAAACAAATTCCGTTGAGAACGGCGTGGAAGGGGTCGGGGCAGTGGCGGCGGCAGTGGGAACCAAAAGTGGGTCGCGATCGAGTTTCGATCCTAGGAGAGGTCCTAGAATAAACCTTTGGCTGCCTTTCTCTTTGCGCCGGCAGGTGCAGTGATCCGACTGGGATCCTTGGCTTTTTTTTTTCTCCCAAGCTAAACGTAATTTATGCTCAGGGGCTCCGCTGACCGTTAAGGTTTTCTGCAAGAACGAGGGGGAGCGCCAGGGGAAGCTGGAAAGGGCCCTGCCCTGCCCTGCCGACTGGCGCCAGTCGGCTGAAGGCTCCTGCTGCTGCTGCTGCTGCTGCTGCCGCCGTTCCTGCTTCACGTTTATCTGGCCACCGCCATCAGGGTCAACTCAATTCGGCAGTTCTTTTGTTCAGCTTGGACTCGGTTCGGGTTTTTGGGGATATTTTTTGTTGTTGTTTTTTTTTAGGGCTTGTTTTGGGTTTGAGCTGGTCTTTGGATGGATCCAGTGCAGTCCAGCCCGCTCTTTTTGCTCCGCTCTTGTGCTCTTTGTGTAACTTGAGAACACTTCATGTGTTGGCTGAAGCGAAACAAAGAGCGCACCACCGATGGCCGGCGATAGCTGAGAGCCAGAGTCTGGCTGGGGCCGGCCGTGTCAGAAGTTCACACAAAACTTGTGAAGTTCCTTCGGCTTGTGCATCCTGGCGAGTGGTGGAGTGGAGTGCAAGGCGGCGCCGGAAGCTGCTCAGACAGCCGATTCGGACCAACTTCAGCTACGTTCGACCAATTAGCTGCGACCATCCGACCAGCCCATACATCCAAAGCAGCTGCACTCTGCCACAGGACTGACTGACCCACCAGCCATAGAGACACACAAAGCCTAGACCAAGTACAATCTAAACCAAAGCAACCGAAGCAAGATATACGCTTTTTATTATAGGATAAACTATCACGATGATATTAGCTCTAAATGATACGCAGAATTGTATTTACTAACATTACCCATAAAATAGTTATAGAAACGCTCTGGGTAGGGTATAAGGGCATAGGGTAAGTCAATCTAGATGGGTCAGTCACGATTACACTGTCCCATTTCGGTGGTTCAATCAGCGTCATGCAACCCGGACAGGTGCATAAACAATGAAAGGCTTTTAGCGGACACCCTCCCACATCCAATCCAGTCCGGACCCAGCCATTCTATTCGCACGCAGCCACTAATGACCCACGCATCGATCCCCGTGCTGGGGGTGTGTGGGATTTGTCCTTAGTTTAGTCCTTCAGGCAAACTGACACGAGCCAGAGCCGTCTGCCTCTGGTCAGTATTTTGAATTTACCATTGTGGACCATTGACTGTGGCCTGGACCGGGGCCAGCAATGTTTCTGAAACGAAAATGCCGCAAGAGAAACACGTCCACGAGACGACACGGCGGCAACGAGCCCTCGAGACACTGGTCATCTTTCGTCGCAGTCTCATCTATCAGACGAAGGAGTTTTTCCAGAATTCAACGCTCCACGGCGTGCGCTACATAGCCGAGACGGGGCGTCCCATTGGTGAGAAGTTCATGTGGTTTTGCTTCACCTCAATTGGTGCTGTCACCGCCTTGGTCATCATCATGAGTCTGTGGGAGAAGTTCCAAACGAATCCAACCATCACCGGCCTGGACACGGACTTTCACAACCAAAATGTTGTCTTTCCCACCACAGTTGTGTGCCCAGAGGCAGCCTTCGATCATGAGAAATCCTATGCAGCGGTCTACAAAAGTTTGGCGTGAGTAATCATATTTTAATTGCGAGACAGCCAACAGCCCATAAATGTGTGCCACAACAGCAACTATGATGATGCACGCGCCCAAATGTTTGCACCATTCTTGGAGCTGCTCACATCGCTTAATTTTGGTAATATTCGCGACGCCAAGCTGCTGTCAGAGTCCATACCCAAGGATCAGCTGGAGGAGCACACTGTCAGGCAGTGGGCATTCGAGGGTCACATCAGCTGCGAGAATACCTTTGTGTCGTGCAAGTATCGCGACGAGGACATACCCTGCTGTGATCACTTTGAGCCCATCTATACGGAGCATGGCTTCTGCTATGCCTTCAACAGTCGCTTCAAGTCCACAGCCGGCGAGGAGTAAGTTCCAGTTCCAGTTCCAGTTTACTTTCTATCCATCTGATGTTCCTTTGATAATTTGTGTGTATTTTAGCATAAAGACGGGAGCACCGCACGATCTGTACGAGACGGACAAAAAGTGGGCGCTCTTCTTTGTGCCCAACAGCACCTCTAGGGTAGGGTGGGGGGAGCCAGAGGATAAAGGATTGATTAATCAACAATTTCATTGACAGATTTTCATCTTTTCGAACGAAGAGTACTTTGGCTCCGACTTCAATGCACAGATCGACTGGTCGGAGAGCCAGCTGGTGGAGGTGCGTATCTCCAAGAAGAACACCTACACCACAGACGATGCCCGTCAGCTATCCATTGGGCAGCGCAAGTGCATCTTCAGCGATGAGGTGAAGCTGAACTACTTCCCGGAGGCCTACACCTTCTCCTCCTGCATGAAGCAGTGCCGCATGAACAAGGCCATCAAGCTCTGCAAATGCAATCCGCCCTTCTACAAGCCCATAAGTGTGCACCAAAATCCATTCATAGTTGCAGCCGTAATAGGTCTTTCCTTTCCTTTCCTTGCAGACAACGTACCCATGTGCATGGTCAAGGATTTTGATTGCCTCGATGAGTTCAAGGTGAACATAACCAACATTAAGGACTGTCTGCAGTGCGAGCTTAGCTGCTCCAAGACGGTGTTCAACATTGATAAACTCATCAAAATGTTAGCTGCTCACTTGTGGAGGATTCTACTATGAAATCTAATGATCCACCCTCTCTCTCTCTCTCTCTCTCCCAGTGTGGATCGACCCGAGAGCACGGGTGTGCTGGTGGAGTTCCTCACTTGGCCCATTATTCGCTACAAGCGTGAAGTACTCTTCGGCTGGGTGGATCTGCTTGTGTCCTTTGGCGGCATTGCCAGTCTCTTTCTTGGCTTCTCGCTGCTTTCTGGCGTTGAGATTATTTATTATTTTACGCTGCGCGCCTGCTGCATGGTCTACAAGAATCGCGTAAGTTTCCCTCGAGTTTCCTTCTGCTCCTTCGCTCTGTCTCTGATGCACTCTGCTTCTCTGTGTGTGTTACAGCAAGAGCTGTATGAGATCGAGGAGCGTATTCGCAAGGAGCCACCTCCATTGATTGATCTCCAGCTGAGGCTTAAGTCGCACTCAACACTGAGGGTTGGCGCCGCCCCCTCGTCGGCAGTGTTGCTGGTGAAGCCTGCCGCGGGAGAGGCTGGTGGCGGAGTCCAGCGAAAACATGAAAAGGTTGCTGACAAAACTGCAATAAGTACAAATGTTTGGTTTTAATTATGTGCTTTTCCTCCGTTGATTTTAGAACTTTTATAATCACACAAAAAAAATATATCGCACGCCTAAAGTATTGCCCGATCATGGGTATGGATCCAATACGATGAAATCATGGAAAGACTCCGATCAGGCACAGTATATGCCTTGAGTTACGAGAACAGTAAACAGATAATAGTAAAAGAATTGTATTCTTTAAATAACAGAAGGGAATTAGAAGTCCCAATGGAAAGTGAATTTTAATAAGAGTTTTTTTTTTGCCTTTACCTAAATATATCATATGAAAAGTAAATCAAATCAAATTAACCAACCTACCAATAAAGCACACAAATAATTAACGCAATAATTAACACACATGTATAAATGTTTGTGTGTTTAGCTAAAAAAAACATTGAAATTGTTTCAGCTGCCAGAGTAATGTTGCTATGGCGATGGATTTTTCTCCCAATTAAACTTCAGTCTTCAGTGTTGCATACTTAGCGGCGGAGTTCAGTGCACTGTGGACGCTGTGCCACCCTGCAAGCCCAGCCCGCAGAACCCAACCACAGTGAGCCAACCCAAGCCCCAAGCTCCAAGCCCTCCGCCCCCACCAGCCAAATTCCCCGGCATTCAGCCACAGTTGAGCAAAAGCGAAAAGCATTTTTCAGTAAACATCGTTGCCGGCTCATTGTTAATTCCCCAGCCATCACCATGCTGTAGAAAGAGATGCAGCACAGAGAGGCAGACCAGAGAAAGAGACGGAGAGACAAAGAGAGTAAAAGAGTAAGAGAGTAAGAGAGAGAGAGAGAGAGTAACGGCTGCCAACAGGTGGAGGGAGTGTGCGGGTGGGTGGCGGCGGTTGTAGTTGTAATTGCAGTTGTAAGCCGCGTAGTACGAGCAGAGATGTCTGGCAGGAGGCAAAGCAGTGGGAAAGCAAAAGCCAAAGCAGAGCAAGCAGAGCGGTGCGGTGCGGTGCGGTGCGGTGAGGTTGGGAGAGGTGATTCTACACTGGCATTCAACTCAACCCAACACCCGCCCCCTCTCTTGGCATTTTGCATATTTCTGTGAATGAAACCGCCGGATAGTTTGTTAAAGGTAGCGGCAGCGAATTCTTTGTTGAGGGGCGGGCGCGGCCACTCACAGGGATTAAGATGCAGCGATCGCTCCACGCGACCAGCGGATGTGGGGCGGGACGGGGATTAGCAACTAGCAAGCCAACTCTGACTTTAAATGCAAACGCGAAAAATGGAAGCAAAACACCGAACGAAAAACCAAAAGAAAGGAAACCCAAACAAAAAGTAAAAACAATTACGGCCTGTTAACGGGAATGTTGACGATGCAAACACACACGCCCTCAACGCCCACACACGGCAAGCCCTCAACACATACACACACACACGCGTGAATGTATATTTATGTACATAAATTTAGAAAAGTTAATTGAAACAAGAGAGAAAAAGGAGGGCAAGAGAATGCTTTTGGGCTACACAGGATTTGAATACCCTTGCAGAACTTACTATCTGGATATACGCGTAGTGCTACGTAGTGTACGGAATACAAATTACAAGTTCTCATGCTCATATTTTATTAAATTCGTAAAATTCCTATACAAATATTATCCAAGAAATGTGCTTTAGGACTGTCACCAAAACTTAACCAAACTCTAAAAAATCTTTTGCAGAGCAGAAGCTAGAATATTCTCGTCAGGGACTGCGATAAAACCCGGCAAATCATTTAATTCAAATTAAGCATCAAATCGAAGAGCGATTAATAATAATAATAATAATAATCTGCTTTTAGTTTAGCTGAAAGTAAGTACGCAAAAGGTGGCTAAAATTTGAAGCTAGTTCATGATGCATACCGAAATATTTTGTAAGGAAATATCACACAAAGTTGGATGGAATTTGCTCTTGTCTTTCCATCGTTTCATGATGTGGCCAGCGTGTAGAGTGCCTTTTTTGATGAACTGTGCTGTGTGGACTCTCCATTCTACCGCATTCCGCAGTCCACATTCGGTTCTGTGTACTTAGTCACAGAACCAGAGAAGCCACCAATCAGCTTTGACGGCTTGTGCCGATGTGTATTTGCTTTTCAATTTGCATTTTTAAAATGGCCCATAAAAGTGTTATAAAGTCTTAATGATGTTGACCAAAACTCAGTTGATTGGATTCGAAAACTTGCAAAAGAAAAACCATTTCAAACAGGTAACTAATTGAAATTTTAAGCTGCCTAAAGTGAGGAGATTACTATTGCAAATAGTACACAAGAAAAAAAGAAAAAATCATCTTGGGTTTCCCATAGATCGTAGCATTAGTGTACCTTAGAATGAACTGGTGGTACCCGCTAGTTGTAATGGACCAACAGCGAGGCCAAAAGCAAATGAACTTGTGACTTGCGGCAAGGACAATGCGGCAGAAGGCGGCTGCTGCGGCGCTAGTTTTTCACGCGGATACGCAATGTGCCACAGGCGGAACCGGATGCGGTCTGACTTGGGACAACAAAAATTAAAAAATTAATGCATGGGCCGAAGCAGAACATGAACAACAACAGCATGGAGCAAAATGGCGGCAAACAAATGAGCAGCAGCAGCAAAAGCCGCAAAAAGGGGGCGTACTGGGCTTACTGTGGGAATGGCCTGACAGGCAGCTTAATTAAGATTGCAAGGATAATGTAGAAATTAAGACACAAAATACCCGAAGAAGAATGAGCAAAGTTTTCAAGTCGCGTAAACTTTTCCGCCTCAGACTCTCCATCCGCACTCCGATGTCGCTGGCTCTGAGCAGAAGGATTTTTCTAGAATTTGTTCCGAGCAGGAGCAGGAGCAGCAGCAGCAGCCAAGACCACAAAACATTCGATGAATTTATTGAATTAAATCTTTCAAGCGCAATGCACAAGTATTTTTGTGCCGTACCGAATATCAGCAGCAAAAGAGGGATGCCAGGACCTACATATTCCATTTCCCTTTGTTGCAGATGACAGAGTGGCAAGTGCTTTGCTTCCGGTGGGGCACTTTGATTGCATTCGACTCCCCCGTTCGCCGCCCACACCCACACCCACACCCGAAGTAAATCCCGTTCTGCACTTCCTCCACATACAACATTGTCTTTTTGGCTGTGACCCGCACTGAAAGTTGAGTCCTGCAACATAAACATAAACTAAATGCAATGCCAAAAACAAGAAAGGAAGACCAGCTCCAGGTTTACCGGAACCTTTGATACCCTCGCAGATTAATTGTTCCGGTGGGATATAAAAATGTAAAGCCAATAGCCAATAGCTATAGCAGATCGGGGGTTTACATTACTCTTACATATTTACATTATATTTTACATTCATTTTTTATTTGTATTTAGCTCGCTGAAACTTTCCATCAATCCTTTGTGTGCCTAATTCTGATCCATTTCTGGATATCCTCTCTCTTTGGCAGGGTATAAGAAACAAAAGTCAAGAGTCGTCCACTCGAGTGTCCAACTGTTTGCTCTGTCTCTCGCCTGCGCCTGCCTCTCGCTCTCTCTCTGTCCCGTCCCTGGAAGTTTGTGTGTGTGTGCGTGTCTGTGCTTGTTGATGCGTGTGCATGTGATCTGTTTGCTGCGATTAGAAAATGATTTACACCTCTGGCAGAAGCGTCGAGCCAGAGAAGTAGACAGAAAGAGAGTAGGAGAGTAACGAAGGAGGGAAGGGGAAGGCCTGGGCGATGACTTGGCACTGGACTGTGAGGACTGGTCCTCGGTCTGGACAGCAGACTAAGAAGGTGCTGCAGCTACAGCTGCAGTGTGCACAGAGTAGCCGAATGGCCACTGCCGAGCGGCAGCCACTGCATTCTCGTTCTATGCAATTACACATTTTACTATTATTAACGTTAATGTCGCCCCTGGGATGATGGCACTAACGCCTGCTCCCGGCTCCACATAAAAGGCGCTTATTAATAAGAAATTGCAATAAACTACAAGACATCCCACCGCACACTCTCCTACCCCCCCTCTCACAAAGCACACACACTCCTTTTGGGGCGATGCACAGAATATTCTACTTCTGTGCAAGGTGCGGGTCACCATGGGCAGCCTCTCTCAACCGCATTCCCTCTCTCTCTTTAGTACTTCCCTCACTAAGGTAACCGTACCTTGTGGTAGTGTGCACCCTGGCACAGGCACGCTGGCGCTTAGGCATATGTAAGCAACAGCTGGTGGAGAGAGCCACTCCTCGTGGAGAGAAGCTGCCGAAACAGCTGGCAGAAGAAAGTCACCCGCTGCTACTGTTGCTGCTGCTGGCGAAGTCTTCCCCTGCAACCACTTCAGGCGCTGCACCATCTCCTTGCTGGATTAAAAGTAAATCAAGCTGCCGACGTCGACGCTCCACATATTTTATTAAGCTGGAAACCAGTAATAAAGTATGAACCTCACTGCCAGCTGCAGCCCGCTCTCACACACCATCGCACGGAAAGAGAGTAGAGTGTTGCACTCTCTCAGTCACGTTACATTCGCCCGCTCGCTGCACAGTGGGAGATGCAGAAGCAAAAGTTGAGTTGCTGCTGTAACATGATCTGCGTTATGCAAATTCAATTTGCTTGACCAAATTGTCTAATAGCAAATAACGGATTAAAAACATATTAATGGATTTACGTTAGTACGTTGATTACTTTAGTTAGTAGTACCTCAGTTATTTGCACAAAACAAAGTTATTTATACAATGCAATTCATTTAATTTATTTCTCCAATCTGCACTTGATCCAAGAATAAGTAATAAATTATGTGGGTACGATTAGCCTTGACATGATTCCACCTGGCTTAACAACAAGCTATTATTTTGACAGATTGAACATTTCACCCACTGTGCATTGGCTGTGATGGGGTTGCAGTTGGTTGTAACGTAATGTTGGCACATCTCTGCTGCGCTCTGCTCTGGTCCGGTCCCATGCTAGAACCTGCACGCGCAAAAATGCTAAAAGTGCAGTGACGCATTCAATGGGAATCGGGGAAATGGGCGCCATCAAATACAATTTTACTACGAGTACGTGCAAAGTAGAAGGGTTCTTAGGCAAATGCATCGTTAAGGTTCTTACTCTGATTTTCCTTGCTAGCGATCCGCACCTGTCTCCCTTTCGCTCTCCCAAAATGTGTGCCTAATGCCGGTTTAAATTTTATAATATGTTGCGTATACGTAACAGGCCGAAACTCT